AAAATACTACTGTGAATAAACTAAAAAAAAGTTCTTGGCGGAAAGCAGCATTTATTCGCCGATTTTTTGCATAGCTTACTTGAGAAACTTTTTCCTCGCCAATGGCTTATTTTCATGCGAAACCTTCAAATTCAACCTTAGTGTTGTAATACGAAAATCAAAATGTCCTCGAACAAAGCTTATTTTTCGTGGAGCCCTTTCTTTAGTAGAATTTGCAGATATCAAAGAAAAAGTTGTAAGGAATTTAAAACTATAAAACTAACTCACTTTTTACCATATTTTGAAAAACTGCGAGCAAATCTTGCTCATGCACTGATCAAAATGCTTCGAAAAATTACTTTAAAAATGGGTGAATGCTTTTTAAAATTTGGTGAAGTTATCGAATTATTTAAAAAAGTTACAACTGTAAAAAGAATGAATGTTCAATTTTTGCACGACTTTTTTTTGGTGCGGTGTATTAGCTCTGATTTTTTGGAATGCGTCCCGAAGTTTTTTCAAGTTAAAATATATATTTGCACAATTTTCTCGCTGGCGGAGAACAACTTTCAAAAATAATGACAATAAGTCAACGCTCTCGCGTCACTTGATGGCTCCCTGTTGACCTTTTGCAAATATTTGTCTCGCAAGTTCTCGAGTTCAGTGCAGTATTTTTTTTCGTTTAAAAAAAAGATGATAACTCTCATTTTATTTTTTGAGGTATAAAAATACGAAGAAATTTTTCTTCGGTGATGAGAAGAAAGCTGAAATTGGATTCGGTCTCACTTTCTCATCATCATCGAGGAAACAGTTGTTCAAATGCATTCCGTCACAGATTGTCGGAATATTTATTCCTTTTGTGTGTTCTGTGAATGAAAACAAACGGGAAATGAACCCGTGATTCCTCCTTAAATCAACGGCTTTTTTCCCCCAAAGACTGCAAAAAAAGTTTCATTACAAAAAAATTTAACGAAGAACGCTTTTTCGCCCCGACATGTGGACAATTCACCTTAAGGACATTTGAAACTACATAAATATTCTCCAGCATTATTCGGTCAATGTCTCCATATGCATGAACTCTTTACAAACATATTTTTAAAAAATGGTAAACTTATATTCTTCAAAATTTTGATATCTCTCGAAAAAAATATTTAATTCATTTTTACAAAAATAGAGAAAATAAATCTTATTATAAATTCAGTATAATGTCACATGTAGAACAGGCTAAATTTGTTCTTCTTTTTTCATAGTTTTCGCCATCATCTGTGCTCATTGTAGGAATACTTGTGCTTGTTTTTTACTTTTCTGGCTCCTTTTCATGTCAAAAAATGAAATTATGTGTGCTTTTCTTTTGCCAAGTTATTTTGTGTCTTTTGATCTTGAGAAAAAAACTTTCTTCCCATTTTGGGGAATTTTTTGCTGATCTTTGTTCAACACGAGAGCTAATTAAATATTACTCCGTTGAAGTCGAAGGAAGAACGTGTTTCGACATGTGGACATATTCTGATATAACTTCGTCCGCATCTCAAGTCCCATTGAATTTTTGTTCATTCCGTGACTCACGCCGGTTCTAATTTCCAATTGTGGGGAAAAGCTTTGTGGAATTCTGGTAAAATAGATGTGAAGAAATAACTTGTTGTTCATTTCACATTCGGACAAGAAGAAGAATAATGGAGACGAAAACAGTAAAGATAATAACGCTGCTTGTTTATGAGACATTTTTATTCGAGGGATGATGTTTCGGAATTTGGTTGGCATTATTTTTCTTTCGTATTTTTCTCCAGCGGTGATTCAGCAGTTTTTATTTTGTCAATAGAACGCGAATCCCATCACTCTTCATCTCATCGTATGTATATATAGAAGAAGCACCACTTTATATGTAGAGTGGTGAAATATTTCTTTCTACATAAACTCCGTCGCCTTCTTTTCTTTTTTTCCTTCTCTCGTCATCATTCGGATAAAGTTACACAACCCGGGTTACTTTTATTTCCCCCGAAGCGCAATTATTTTGCATCTCCAGAATTGAGTTGCAACATTCTGTGTGACCCCGATTTTTGTGCTGCTGCTGCTGTTGATGAGATGAGGTCAAAAATAACCGCATATCAACTCCTGTTTCAACATTCGTTGTCAGCTCCGAAAACACTCTGGTGGCCTTTTGTTTGTGAAAACTGCGGCTTCTTTTCCATCAAAGCATCGTGTTTTCTTCATGAGTAACGGGTTTTCTTATGGCGATGATTTACGAGGAGAATTTGTGCGAGAGCTGGGGGTGTTTGGAAATTTCCTAAATAATATGGCAGACCCATATATATAATTTAGGACAGATTCCTCAACCCTTTTTGTGCTTGTGGACCAGCAAATTGTAAAAAAAATCCCTTGCAAGCAGGCGTATGTATTCATACAATATTCTGCGGACTGACAATTAAATTCCTTACAATTCGCAATGACAATCTGCGGACAATTTTAAAATAGCACTTATGCCAGAAAACTTTCCTGGCAAAAATTAAGTTAAGAACTCACGAAGCAGCTATAAAGAGGAAATTTCTTCACAAAATTTGATTCTGGACTTGAAGACAGGTTGCTCTGGTTTAAAACTGGAAAAAGTAATACATTTCAGCAGATGAAAATATGTCTGAATTGCTATTAGGACATTTAGGAGAAAACCCAAAAATTCATTTTCATCAGTTGATTTCAACAGCTATTGTCTCTAAAATTCTTGAATTTTAATTATAGACTTCGTTACTGCTTTTAATGAATTTATTATGCGGAAGAAATTTTCTAGTGGACCAGCAAAAAAACTTCTGCAGACCAGCAACAGTTAGCAGACCATGGGGGAACACTGAGTTAGGATATATGTTGTGACAGCTGCTGGTGACATCTATGCAAGTGGCTGAACGTTATAATTTTGTCTGCCTGAATAGAAAATTTCTGCAAACTCGGTAGATGTCACCAAAAGACACAATTGTGTTTTTTCAATTTTCATTTGAATTTTCAATTTGCATGAGGCATCACTGCAGTAAGATTTGAAGGATTTTGCAGATTTCTTCATGAAGATGCATCAAAATTTGTAAAATACGTTTTTTACATTCACTGGTTTTATTTGAGTACAATCATGCACACCATTTTTTCTCAAAGTTGAAAGGACATTGGGGGTGCATATCATAATTGGGTTTAAATTTTTCAAACAGTTTTAGAAGCTGGGATGTGCATTATACTTGATTCTAGTGGGAAATTTAGGACCAATTTTATAAAGAAAAACTTATTTTTATGGAAAAAATTTAGCATTAGTTGAATTTAGGTTCAATTTATGTCTAAATTCAAATCTTAATATTTAATATTATAGTGAAATATGGAGGCGTTCGAGTAATTAAAATTGGGATGCGCATCTTACTTGGAAATACAACTTAATAAAAATGTAGACCAAAAAACCTTGTTTTTTGCCTGCGTTACATGTAGATACCATGTTTTAAAAAATTATTACCCCTTTGCATGAGTGTTTCGTTAAAAACTTGAGATGATTAAAAAGGTGAACATTTTTCCAGCAAATATAAAGTTTTCTGTGAATATTGGGTGTGGTTAGTCTTACATGATTTATATTCTTGTAAACTCTCAGTTCTCCTGCTTGTATGATAATTTAAAACTCTTTCCGCCTAATAGTACCTTTTCCCAGAATTTAGTTGAAGCATTGAAATATTTCCCAACAGTATTTGGCCAACAATTTCAAATCACAGGAAAATTCCAGGCATTCTTCCGGAGATGTTCATTACTTTTAAATTTTCATCAAGTACTGTACTTGCATTTAAACTTGCTGTTTCCGTCATTAATCAAGCCGTGCAAGAATAATATTGCGCTGCAAAGCAAAAAAAAGAGATTTTAATGCAACCTCAATTATACCGGGAGGCATTTGAAGGTGAAATTTGCTAATGAAATCGCCGCAAAATTTCAAAAAATTGAATTTTTAATTGATGGAACCTGCTGATTTCCGAAAGGAGAAGCGTTGTGCAATCGTTTTAGACTGTCTGCGGTTTTCCTGCCGGAAATCACGGCTTCATCAATTGCGGAAAAGTGAACCCCAAGGCACTAATCAACATTCGATCAGGGCCGGAAACTTCTTCTCGTCTGCCTTTCTTTTTTTTTTTTTTCTGATGTGTGAAATTTTATTTTGTTCTTTTTTCTCACCTGGGGGTCATCGGTTCTTCTTCTTCCAAGAATTGCGACAGGACAGGAATCGCCGATCGTTTTAATTCCCTGTTCGCGTGACACGTGTCGTGACTTGCCGCATTATCATAATTCCCGCTTTGGATCCAGCAATCACTCGGAAGATGATTGTGTTTCTTTTTTTTTCTCGTTCCTTTTTAAAATATTGATTATACTTGTACGAGAACCTGCTCCATTTTTGTTCATATTTTTTTTTCTCCTTCTCCAATAGAAGCCCTGCAATTTGAGAGACGCGAGCGGAAAGAAACCGTGTGTTTTTCGCTGCACACCATCGAACGTTTCTCGACCTGTCTTGAATTTCTCTCGAGATATATATTGTGAGAAGATATCGCAAGGGGGGGAAGATTTTTTTTCTTCTGATCCACATCACTTTCTTTATTTCAAGTTTTAAAAATCGAAGGATTTCTTAAAAACTTGCGAGCTGCCTTCATATATGCAGATTTTAGTTGGATATAGAAGATTGTCAATTTTTAAGTGATTGATGCTCATGCAAGAACTAGTTAATTTTCAGGTTAAATTATTTTAAATTATGCAAAACATTTGGAATAGCGGAAGTGAGTTCATTTCTTTCAGACATTATTTTTTCATAAAAATAAAAACTTGGGGCATATTTATTTCAATAACACGGATAAAATTTGTATCAGGATTGGCTTGAGGCACATTTTGAAAGAAAAATACTATTTAAAATTTAATTTCCAGAAAACTTAAGCATACGAGCAATTTCCAAAAATTCTAAATGCAGTGCCATATTTACTCAATTACCATATGGTCCCTTTGAGTAATGGGCGCACTTGGTTTTTGAGAATAAAATGTTGATAAAATTGTACCCTCAGGTGAGACATGCAACCATTTTTATTCAGTCAAAAAGTGCAATATTTCAAAAGTAGGAACCCCCAGATTTGAATGTATGCATGAATTGAACCTTACTTCGACTCATTTTTAATGGTTTCCATTTAAATAATGATTTTTATGTTAAAATTGGTCCAAAATTCCGCAGTATAATCAAGTTTATTGCACGCAACATATAAACTAGTAAAACTTTTTGAAAAATGTATACCTGACTATATATGACGTGCACCACGTTTTCCCCTCTAAATTTTGATAGAAAAAAAAATGTGCTAATTTTAAAGTAGAGACAAATTCAATGCAAGTGTTTATTTCCCCGTCCAAGAATAAATATAGACTCTGCTCAATGTTTTCCATATAATTCAGAAATCATGGAGGAAAAGGAAAAAGAAATATTGCATGACCCGATGAATCGATTCCCGTTTTTAATAACGGACCTTAGTTCACTTCCATCCTGTCACTACATGACTACAGCGATTCGAATGCAAATTTGACGTGAACACGTGTGTGTTTGTTTTTTTACTGTATTCGGTGGATGATTAACAGGTGTTCCACGTGTGCGTGGACGATGCTCAAGGTGGCCTGACCCGAGTTGACTTCTTGTGCCCGAACGGAACCTTGTACAACCAAGAAGCCTTCGTTTGCGACTGGTGGTTCAACGTGGACTGCGGCTCTTCAGAGAGCTTCTTTGGCAAGAATGACGAGATCGGGAAAGTGCCTGAGGGAGCTGGCCAGTTTGGACAACAGGTCAGTTAATTATTGAGCCATGATCTGTTCTATACAGGGGATGAAAAGGAAAAAGAAAAACATATTCTAAATTTATTGTGGGCATTTAAGACAAAGCATTCAGTCTAGAACAGTGTTCCTCAACCTTTTTTGCTGGGCCCGCAGACTGGCAGATTTCCATTAAATTTCTTCTCAGACCAGCAAATTCCCCAAAAATTTCATTTAGTCAACCAGCAAAGTTTCATGAAAAATTTCAAGACTTGAAAAATTGTTACTTGATAGACTTTATGGAAGGTATATAAAAGTGTCTGCTTCTTGGAAACATCAAGTTAAGCACATGCAATTTGACCCTAATCTGTTGCTGAACTAGATTCAAATTGCAAAGCAGTTGAATTGCAATGAGATACTGTATGTAAAATTAAGGAACAGCATTTAAAAAAAAAACCTAGAAAATTGGCTGAAGGAGGACAAATGGTGAGGCAAATGTTGAATTTCAAATCCACCTCCCAGCAAGTTCAACCATTGAATTTCAGGATGGTCAAATTGCAAGGTACCACCATTAATGATGAACCATGCTCTGCTAACCATTTTTTGTCTTTACAAAATGCAAAAAAAAAATCAGAATATGAATTGATTTTCAAAAGCTTTGCCATTTTTGGAATAGCATTTAATAAATCATGATGCTGCACAGCTAAAATCTTGCTGCTTTGCTTGCTGTGATGAATTTCACAATTGTTTGCTTGCTGATTCTGTCTTTACTTTATTCTCAATTTCCAGCTGAGACCCCAGCAGCCGCAGCCCAGACCCCAACAGCCCCAGGCACCGCGTCAGCCAGCCCCAGTGCAACCCCAGGTTCCTCAGCAGCAGAGCCAACCTGACCTGCCAGCACCCAGGCCCCAACAGCCGGCCCCCAGGCCTCAGCAACCCGCCCCCAGGCCCCAACAGCCGGCCCCCAGGCCCCAACAACCCGCCCCCAGGCCCCAGCAACCCGCTCCCAGACCTCAGCAACCCGCCCCAAGACCTCAGCAACCACAGCAGGGTCTCAGGCCCCAGTTGCCAGCCCCCAGCAGGCCCCAGCAACCCGTCCAGCAGAGGCCCCAGCAGCAGGTCCCATCTGTGCCCCGACCCCAGCCCGGCCCCAGGCCCCAACAACAGACTGCCAGGCCCCAGCAGCAGCAGCAGCAGCAGCAACCTGCCCAGCAGCAAAGGCCACAGCAACCCAGTCCCTCCTACGGGGTGCCCCCACCACAAGAATTCGGAGACAAGGTTGATGGTTACTATTAGTCGATGACAACTTTCCGATGAAGGAACCTCGTGAAAAAAAAGCAAATTTCCCCCTCTTTTTCATTTCTTTTTCTTTTTTTTTTTGAGCCCTCGTAACCTTTTGTTTTCTTTTCTTTTCCTCGTGTGGGCGAAAATTTACATGTGCGCAAGGAGCCACATTTTTGCACGTTCAGCATTTTTTTGTAAGCGTTCGAATTTTTCGACAGTATATAATAGGGGATTGTTTCTTTGTACATTGTAATTCTTTTATTCTTATTTTATTGTCGTTGTGCCCTCTATACTCATGTCCGCACGCAAGAAAGAAAAAAAAATATTCTTTTCTTGAATTGCTGGGGATCGAAACACACACAAGGATGTCGAGTTACCCGGAAATTTTCTTTTATGAGGCTACCAAAAAAAGAAGACAAGTGCAAGAATATCACCAGCACTTGCCTTTTTTGCATTGTATCAGACAAGAGGCAATTATTATAATTATTTTTTCTACCTTTCCCCGGATTTTTTTGCGAGAGGAGGGGATAACGGGAAGAGGGAGAGAGAGAGAGAGACATTTTGGCAGGAAAAGGACCAGCTGGCCAAAATGAGGAAACTTGCCATACGAAGCTCGATCGTGCTTTTTACGCATTTGATTGTATTTTCTTCTTGTTGTGATTGTGTTTGCTTGTTTTGTCTGGAGGACATTTTTTCAGCACTCGTTATATACTTGGATTTTGGACGAAGAAACCTGGCGATGGAAAATAAACATGGTGTTTCTGAAATTCCACGAACATTTTTATTCAGCTTTACTTTGAGTTTATACTCGTACCGATACAGGGTGGATCGTAATTCCTTTTTAGAAAGCTATATCTCCTGAAAGAAGTGAACTACAGTCAAACCTCTTGCATTTCAATTTCAAGAGCACGGAAGAAAAATTGAATTCAGGTTATTTTGAGTGGGGAAAGTTTCCAGCTATGGGAGAACAAGCATTTTCATTGTGGGAAATGGAAGAATTGCAGGAAATTGTAAATGGTGAAACTCTATAAGCATTGAATTGCTTCCTAAATGAGTTGACAAGAGGCTGAACTTGGAGGCAGGGTCATTTGCCCAATTATCACTTTCAATTCCTACCAGAAAACAATTTTACTTCTTATTGTTTTTCTCTTTCCTGTGTCAAGAAAAAAATAGCAAAAAGCTTCAAAAATCTACATTACGGAGGTTTGAGATGGAACACCTTTGAGCTGGAGAGGTTTCTAATGAACTGATTCTAAGGAAATGCAGACAGGGATTCAAAAAAATGACTTAGGGAGGTATTCAACTTGAAGAGGTTAAAGTTATCAAGGTTCTATGGAATTTTTTAGAAAAAAAAATCATTCAAATTTTTTCAATAAACTATGATTCAACGGCAAACCTCTTTCAGTCAAATTTCAAGGAACTGTGAGAAAAAATCAAGTCAGGGAGATTTTGAGTGAAGGTAACAAGCCTTTTTGTAGGAAATTTAAAAAGAATAACAAGAAATTGTAATCAGTGATATTCTGGCCCTTGAAATGCTTCTCAAAGGAGTTGACAGGATGCGGAAAGTTGATGCAAAAGCTCATTTGATCAATCAGCCATCATACAGGCAACAAAATCCAAATTTTTTGCAGAGTTACATATGAATTAAAAAAAAAGAATTCCAGTGAGTGGATTTCCAAGTTTGGGGAAAAATCCAATATTTATTTTTTATTCATCACTCTTCAAAAACATTTTTGCTAAAAAAAATGTACTTCATCCTCAAGTGTGAGCTTTTTTTTTCCTATCCTGAAAGTGTTCTGGCATCTTGTGAACAACTCCTTCCATCTTTGGTGTGAAAAAAGGTTTACTAACTTTATTGGAGACACTTGCTCTGCTCCTTGAGAAGGAATTTTTCATACAAGGGATTAAAGCCATGAGAATAATAAGCAGTGCAACCAAAGAATATTTTAAAATGCATGAAAAAAATTATAGCTGGAGGAGGAGATAAGCTTGATGCGGAACAAATTTTTTTGAATGTTTCCTTGTAGTGGCTGAATTCAGGATCTTGTCAAAATCCTTCCAAGATTTGTATGAGCAGAATTTTTTGAAGTGTTCTTGGCCTTCATTTTGGGCTCAAAAGGCAATATGCTCCATGTTTGGAGGTCAATCCAGAAAAATTCTGATCTTGGTAAATTCAAGAGACCCCATTTCCCCAAATTAGTTTTTATTTTGCCTCACACAACTTGGCTGGGATTTTTGTGATTTCCAGAAAAATTAAGATGTGGTAGAATACTGTACAGAAAAAGCCTGAATAGTGATCTTTCACTTCCCTGCAATGCACATCAAGAGACATTT